TGCCGGCCCCCTTTCACTCATCCCTTTGCCCACCCAAACAACGAAATTGAAAACCAAGTTCAGCAAACAAAAAACATTTTCCTTTTTCTCTTGACGCTTAATCAAACGCAATTATGAAAAGCAAAGGGAAATGCTGCCGACGGTTGCGTTGCGACTGCGATAATGCCCAGCAATCAGCAGAGGCGAAGCCATGCGGTCGGATGTATCCAAATGTAGAGTAGTCCTCATACTCATCCCTTTTAGTTACAATTTAATTTTCTAGTCTGTATATAGTAAATTTTCCCAAAAAGTCCACACTCCAAAGAACCCTAGCAAAAAATATAAATATAAAAAGAAAAATAAATCTAAATACAAAATTAATTATTATTAAATAATTAATCTAATCCATAGAACTTTATAGATTTAAACAATTTGCACACAGTTTCATTAAACTAATTAAATAAACTTTTTCGTTCATTTTTAGTATTTTTAATACCATATTTTCCTATGTTATTATCTTGTAAAAGAATTTTAAATATGTGCAACGAGTTCATCATTTAATATCAATTTAATAAAATACAAATTAAGAGAGCCCCATTCCGATTGACTACACGAGTATATGTATGCCTGTACCTATGTACAAAAGAGGTACATAAGTATTATGATGGAACAAAACATTCGATGAAATGTTTAAATCATTTTTGGGTTTTAAAATAAAAAAAGTTCTTAGATGCATTCGGACATCAGTCACATTAAAATGCGTTTGAATTGTTCGACGAGAAAATCACTTGTGTTGTTTTTATCTTTTTATTTGCAAAATCAAACTTGGAAAAAATTAAAAAATGAATTAATTATTAAGCGCTGTAAGTTTACGCCTATTGTTAATATAAAAATCTGTTTTATTTTGATTTGATATGATCATCCATCGAAACAGTCCGTAATAGTCACTTGCGTTGCTCTCCAAGAGATTTAATTGGTTGCCCCCATCTTTAAACTCTTTTTATATATTTAATTTAATTTTATTTATTTTTCTTTATTTTATTTATTTTTTAAATTTATTTTATATATTCAAATGAAACTAATGGAATTTTTCTCAATCTTTGTAGATGGTTAAGATGGTGGAGCCGTAGTAGTAGCTGCCATTTTCATATTGCTCTCGAAGAATTACACAAACAGCTGATACTCTCCATTATCTGCCCCATCAATTACAGGGTACGCGGGACACAGAAGAGTTTTGGTTGGGGGAATGGATGGCTGGCAGGGAGTGAAACAAACGCACAAATTGTAAACCAAAGACTGTCAAAACAGTCTATCATCTCCTCCCTTTCTCTCTGTATCACTGCCTCCACCTCTGCCTCCCTCACCCTCTCCCTCTGTCTCTCACCCTCAAAGTGTGTGTGTCAAAATCACATTAGATGCTGTTAACTTTTGCCAGTGACTGTGTGACTGTGTGATGATGCTTCCTCCGGCTTCAATTTCGGTTTTTTGTTTTCCCCATCAATATTTTTGTGGTCAATTTGTTTGCTTGCCCACAAATTGATTGATTGCTTTGTATTGGTGGGTGATTTGTCCTTAACCCTGCCAAACACACACACGCATGCGTTTGTCCTTATCCATATCCTGCTGCCCGACTGAGATTTGTGGTCATCCCTAAATGGCTTTTCTTTCATGCCACTAAATTACACAGAACTAAATCAAAAAGCCAGCCGCGGAGTGTGTCAATCGGCGTGTGAATAGCTGCCAGTGGGTATATATATTTGCACGTATGTATGTATGTATGTATTAGTGTTTTTAACTTTAGGTTACACTTGACTTTGTATTAACTTTGTAAGGAGATTGATTGTGTGACACTGCTAAGCAGCTTCTAGACTCTAGATGAAAGTAGATATTAATCAATAGGCGAGGGCAGAATAACGGACAGATAACTACTAATAAAGTTGCAAAAGGATTATAATTGTGAATAAGAACTCAACAGATATATAGCACGGCTTTAAAGGGCTAGAAGTGGCAATAGATAACTCCAGAATTGTTTAACATAATAACAAATACGGAGGTACTGCCAATTGTGGGATTTCAATGCCAGTGCCTGGAGCGCACATTTTCCTAAATTTACTAGAAATACTAAACAAAGCGGAAAGCATTGAATTTCTGTTTGTGTCTGTTCAGTGACAGACCCATAAAATACGAGTGCCATTCAATTCACAAGAGAACCATCCGAAAGGCGAAAGGTGCAAAACTGTTCAACTTTGATTCGAGCGTTTTTTATTTTTATCTTCATTGTGGAGGGCAAAAGTTTTTTTGGACAGCCACCAGCGCACTCTCTGCCAACTCCTTGCTCTAGGGAATTCGTTGACACACACACATACACCGAGAGAGAGAGAGAGAGACAGGCACTCGTATATGCTTTGTCCTTTAAAATGTGCAGCGCAGCGGGTGAGGGAATTCGATTTGCATAGGGGAAACAGATAGGGGCAAAGGGTTGCAGATGCATTTTCTATTTTCTGCGGCTATGCTGGGTATCAAAGGGTTAGAATAGAAAAAGGGAACCGCTGATTTTTATGCCAGTTGTTTTATTTTTTGTTGTGTGCCCATTTATTTGTTTTGGTTGCGTTTTATGGCATGCCAACATGTTGGCCTGCTCGTAAAAAATCCGCTTTCCTCGCCCGTTTCTCTTTATTTTTTGTTTGGCCACATTTTTTTCCATTTTGGCCAGGTAGGCATCGAATTGCGTGAGCAGCTAGGGATTTAAAATTTCCCCTCTAAATTTAATTGAAAAACCCGCCGCCAACGAGACAAATTGGAAATCGAAATCAATTACGCTTAGCCGCATTCATTATGGACATTTACAAATGCATTGCCATTAAATATTTGGAGAGCAAATAAACACACACCACATTAAATGCAAGCCACAGCGCACAGTTCTCAGTTGCAGTTGCAGATACAGATACAAATGTATCTGATGCAATAACGATAATATCATTCATTTAGTTTTTGTTCCATTGCATGGCTTCAATTGCGAAAATGCCATCAAATAAACCGTAGAGAAAACTCAATTAAAAGCGAGTGCTGATGGATGTGCATAAATAGGATTGGATCCGCTCCGCTCCGCTCCGCTACTGCTACTTTCTGCAGGGATGCCGCACACACACACACAATTCACCCAAAGCATACTTTCGGGCGTTCTCCCCCGGCCGCCCGAGCGGTGTGCTATGCTTCTGTCACTAACTACCCATGGTTCCCCTCTCTAGTTATTTCTACCTTTTGTAACCCTTTCTGACGCTGCTTCCTCTTCCTGTGCATATCTCTGACCACCAACTCTGCCTCTGTCTCTGCCTCTGTCTCTGCCTCTGTCTCTGCCTCTGCCTCTGACTCTGTCTCTGGTTTTGTTTTTGGCTCTGCCATGGACTGCCCCATTATATTTCTGGGTGTGTGGTGTGTGGGGCAGCTACACTCCATTTGGAGTTATCCGGCAGCTGTTTTAAGCTTGCACTCTCTATTCAGAATTAACATATATGTTCCGCTAGGCAAGGTCGCGTGAGGGAATGAAACTTAATCCCATAGAGTGGAAAACAAATTGGAATTTATGTATGGCACACTCAATCCAATCAGCGGTTGCTCTCCCTTGGCAGTTCCAATTGGCATTGCCTCTAAGCAGACCGTTCCCTGTACCCTTTCCTTTCCCTTCCATAGGGCACACCAAAGTTCGCTCTGGGTACAAAATTCCACTTTTAGCTGCTGTTTTTTTCCTGCTGGAATTCGCAAATGAATTTTCAGCTCCCTGCCACACATCGCCGGACACTGTCGACCGCACAGACCACACAAAATCCTTCCTTGTCCACTTTTCATATGTTTAGAGAGAGAGAGAGGGGCAGCCACAGGGTGTGGCACAAAAATAGTACGAGGTGTGAGGTGTCGTTAAAGAGAGAGCAAAAAGAGTTTTGTTGCCATTTAAACGCAATTAGGGAATGCATTCAAAGTTCTTGGGGTCAGAGGCGGTGGCCAGAGGTGTGGCCATGTACAAGCCACAGGGAAGTCCGTCCAGGGGAGCGCTTACTGTACGTGGAACGCGTACTGCCACATATGTAGGGGATATGTTCGCACTTTCGATGGTGGTTCCTATTGGCTCCTGGCAATATTTTGCTGTAGTACTGTAGTACAGTCTGGCTTGAATGTGGGCGGAAAATGGAAAGCCGCTTAGACACTCAGGCACATCCACATCCACACACAGAGACAGGGAAAGAGAAAGCGAAAGCGATGAGCACAATATTGATGAGGGCATTGCTGACATGGAAAAGCCACGTCCAATGCTGCCTGATTGACACACAAAGGCAGGCAATCTGCAGGATGCCCAAGCACAGGACAGGGCCCCCCCACCCAATGGTCAACCATTGTGGCAATCTCTCATGGCTTTGGCTCGTCCCTGATCTCTGTACGTAATGGCTGCCACTGCAATTCATTAACAATTTTCCCCTTTAGCAGCAGCAGCAGCGGCGGCAGCAGCTTTCCCCATGACTTAAGTGGCCTGCCTACCGTCATCTTGTCTGACGTCTACTCCAGCAATTACCAGACGATGTCCATGTCTCTCTCGCCGTGTGGAGAGGATTACGGCAGGCGACAGGCGAATGAGGCACCATTAGACGTCAGAGAGCAAAGCCTCTTGCCAGGCTGCTGCTGGTTGCACGTGCAGCCACCTCAACCGCCGCCATATGGCCATAAAAAGGAGTCGCAGGCAAATCGCCCCGCCAAATGCTGCTGCTCATAAAACTATGCAAAAACAAGGGGATTATGGTCAGGCGGGGTTTTTATGGAGGGCTAGCAATAAGACCGGCCGATCCGTAATGCCCATCCGAATCCCTATAGGCAGGTAAGTACGAGGTAAATACCTACTCCCTGTAGGTACACAGATATCTAGGTAACCCGAGCAGGGATACATATATATAATGCCTGGGGCAGGGGCCTACAGACATCAGTTGCCAGCGAGCCAGCGAAGAGAGACAACCAACCGGAATCAAGCATCAATCATGGGCAGCACACACTCCAAGAAGGACTCCGAGGACACGACCAGCCAGGCATCTGACGGGATCTGCTGTGTGGTGCCACGGCCGCCACGACTCTCCACCATACTGCGCATGCTGCGGCGCCACCTGACTCCGGCTAAGTCCGGCATGCAGAGGCAAAAGCAGAAGCAGAAGAGCGTGTCAAAGCGCCGGGCCCTGCACCGACCCATGCCCAGATGCTCCTCCTTTGGCTCCTGCGGCACCCTGCTGACGCCCACCAAGCGCCGGTCGACGACCAGCTCTGCCTCCGGCTCCAGCTCTAGCTCTGGCACCGCATCCATCGCCGATCTACACTACGCCCAGTGGAAGTGCATGTTCGAGCAGGAGCAGCAGCAGCAACAGCAACAGCAGCGGCAGTTGGGCTCTTCGCAGCACAACACCAGCGAGGCGCTCTCCGGCCAGACAACGCCACGGGGCTTCCCCTCGCACACGGATCCCAGCCGCTGTCTGGTGCCCGAGGAGCCGCTGCCCTCGCTGCAGTGTCCACTGTACGACTACGTGGGCGAACTGAAGGTGCGGCGCCGCCTTAGCCTGCGCAGTCCACTGCGCCGGACCTCCAGCACCACCAGCCGGCAGCGGTCGCAGGCCCAAGCACAGGCACAGGCACGGGCCCGTCTGGAGGCACAGCTGGAACGGGAGCTGCGCGACCTGGAGGAGTACTACGGCGGATTTCACTTTTCGCAGCGCGGCGAACGCTTTGTGCGCATCTAAGCAGCGGAAAGCGGCAGCGCAGAGAAAGCGAAAGCCCAGATACTTATAGCCAACATTGTGATAGCTTGTAAGCCTAGTTAGTAGTTCTCACCACAAAAGAGAGTTGAATAAAATTCGGAATGAAAATTAAATTGGAAAATATATTTTTTGAATTATTTGGATATGGATTTAAGGGGCGGATAGTGCATGGGAAAAATGCAGTAACAAATAGAAGATACATGCAGATACATTTTAATATTTATGCAACTTTGTAGCTCCATGAAAAAAGAGATGCCCCCACTGCAGAATGAACTTACTTCAGTGCATTCGATGGCAGAACAATAAATATCTGAATATATTTATGTATATTCCAAAACAGGTTCTATCCAGGTCTAGCCATAATTTCAAGTCAGAAATTTAAAAAATAAAAAAATTAACTATAGAAATACATATAAATAAATACACATAAATACAAATTACATATAGAAATATTCAACATTCAGCAAGAGTGCTGCTTGATTTGCTGTTTATATTTATATTTTATATTTATATAATTGTTAGTTTATTTGGTTTAATTTTGCAAATTTAACTGCTGACAAATTAACAACAAAATTGCACATTCGCGATGACCGATGACCGATGACCGATACAAAATCGATTTCAATAAGCTGCAGCAGGCAGGGCAAGCTGATAAGCTTACGAGGGCACAATGTGGCATAAAATGAAAAACTTTAAGTGAATTAAATAATAACATTAATAGCGCTAAATGATTGAGGCAAAAATCGTATGTTGAAGCGAAATTTTGTGTTTATTTATGTTGAATTTAGCGATTGGAAATGTTGGCAAAAATCGGAGCATCGTTAACCACAATCGGCATTCCACTTACAGCAAAAAAAAAAAAATAAAACAAATTGTTGAACAATTTCTGACGCTGAACGTGTGTGAATATGTTATGTCCGATATTAATAATCAAATACCGCGTAGATTCGCGCGTTCAGCAGTGCCACTCCACTATTTTTAGCGCAATTAAAATTCACAGAATTCAGAATCGAGAGCATCACAATTATTGAACGAATGGGGGGCCTCACAGCGAAAGTACATAGCTACCCAGAATGTGGGACAGGGTCAGAATGGGGCAGAATTGGTGGCTGATGGGTGTTAGACAGATGAGAGGCGAGCCAATTAATCAGTTGCCGCCAGCCAGCACGAACAAGCGGGCCAAGAAACAACAACAAAGGCTGATGAGCTGCAACAACAGACAAAAGGCAGACATGATGATGAAAATGAAAATGAATATTTTCTAGCAATTGCTGCGGGACGGGGGGGCTGTGGCCGAGGGTAGACATGGCGCAGCCAAGGGAAAACACTTTGATGAGGCCTTGCCCGATTTTATGCCGGCGCTTTTTTTTTTTTGCTTACCCATTCAAAAAGCCGAGGCGCAAAAAGTTTTAGATTTGCTTTATCCATAACTTTTCAATCAGCCAATTTGCCACAATTTGTGAAACGCCAGATGAATGCAGCTAAATGCTGCACCCCACCCCACCCCATCGATCGAATGGCAGGCTGACGGATGCACTTCATTCGCTAGCCCGCCTGTGGCCAGTGGCCAGTGCCCAAGTGTCAGATGTGAGCCGCCTCACAATAATGCAAATTTCCCAGTGAAATATTTGCGGAATTTGTCGTTCTCGAGTCTCAAATGCGTCAGTCGCCAGGTTGAACGAACCCCCCCCCCCCAAACGCATGAAAAACAAAAACACTTGAGCGCAGTGAAAATAATAAATAAATAAATAGAAAAGAGACCACGAGCATAAACAGCTTAAAAAATACTTCTTGAATTATTTACTGATACTAAAATACTTTTTCTGTGACTATTAATGGGGAAATTCGTTTGGAAAAAATTTAAAAATTAATATACAGAGCTGCCGCATTGTGTGGCACAGTAAGATCTAAATGCCAAGACCCAGCCCCATTCTTATGTTCATCGCAAGACAGTTTTGTGCTTGAATGGTCAGCCACAACAAAAGCAGCAACAGGAAGAGCCAGTGGAAGAGTTAGAACTAGAGAGGGAACAGCCAGAGGAACAGCCAGAGGAACAGCCAGCGGAACGGCCAGGGGAATAGCCAGAGGAACAGTCAGAGGAAGAGAAAGAACCAGTCACAGGTAGAGGCAAAGGAAGAGACAAAGGAAGAGCCAGAACCACAGCAGAAACAGTCACAGGAAGAGGCAAAGGAAGAGCCACAGCGACGGCTAGAGGACCAACCACAGTAACAGCAAGAGGAGGAGAAGCAGCCAACGCCCCGAAAATGTGGAGCAAGAAAACAAAGCTGCTGCAGCTGGGGTAGCTGTTGGATTCCCAACTGCAACATCACACGAAAAATGTTGCAAATTTGTTGGTTGATCGTTTAATTTTAGCTTTTGTTCGCCAACTCTCTGCCTCTCGATGGGCACTGACATTTAACTGGTTGTTGGAGATGGTAATTGTTTCTATATGCAGGTTCGTTCCCCTTGGCACACAGACCGAACGCGCCAAATGTGTTGCAGTCCATCGACGTGGCCCGTAATGCCTTGACCCTGCCACAATTATCCATCATTGATCCGATGGCAACACTTTGACCATTAGCCCAGAGGCCACACCACATACACATACACTTACACACATACACAGGGGAGGGGGATACAAAGATAGCAAATGTCGAATCGATACAAGAAACCAAAGCCAAAAGCCAAAAACCAAAAGCCAAAACCAAAGTCAGTCCACGTCACGTGCTGGGCGCAGCAAAATCAACAAATGGAAACTAATAGGCAATTACGAATACACCAAGTACACCAAGCAACCGAGCAAGCGAGCACACGAGCACACGAGCATACGAGCACAGGCAAATGTCGATACGGCCAAGACACTAGACACTAGACGGGGGATGTGGCTGTGGGTGGTTGGCTATGGGTGGCAGCATGTAGTGTGGCGGGCTGCAATGTGGACACTTGCAATGTGAATTTGTGCATGGCTGTGGCAAATGGAGGCGAATGTAAATCAAATCTCCTCTCTCCTGCCGGCTCTCTCTCTTCATTACGATTTGAGACAGCTGCTGACAATAATCCTGATCAGCATTCACATTTGGGCTTAATGGGGGGTTCCATGCACAACAAATTACAAGCAAATGATTTTTAACCGACTCGTTATATATGTTCCCAAATGATCAGCAACCTCCGTTCGCTTGTTCCCTCCCGATTCGATCATCACTCTAAGGGGATCTCTACCGAGACTCTCTTGAGTCTCAGGCGCAACGAGTATTTGCCACTCCACTCCACAACACATGCAAATTGTTTGTCTCTCTCTCCCCCCTGTGCACTGTCAGTTGGGCAGGCAAACGAAACAGCTGGTGGGGGCCAAAATCGAGGAATATTTTCCCATTCTTTCCTCCCCTTCTGATGGGAAATTTGATTTTACGCTATTTATTAAAATTTATTTATACTTTATCTGCAATTTGGTCTTTGGGGAACATCAACAACGGAGACGGCAGACGGGGACGGTGAACGGGGGACGGGGTAAGGGTATGATGACGAGCAATCTCCTCGTCATCCGCTCTCTCATCCTGTTGAAACGGTTTTATTTCCTCAGAAATGACAAGAGCGTAGGGTGTGGGGAAAGGGAAGATGCGAAGAGGAGGTAGGTTCGAGCCCCATGCATACATTATTTTGCCTTCCCTATTTTTTTTACTCCTTCTCTCGCCTCTTTTCCACCGTCTCTCGTTAATTTTCTTGCCTCTCTCGCGTCTTTTCCTCCTTCTCTTGCCTCTTTTCCTCCTTCTCTTGCGCCTTTTGCTCCTTCTCTTGCCTCTTTTCCTCCTTCTCTTGCGTCCTTTCCTCCTCCTTTTGCGACTTGTCTTCCTCCTCTTGCCTCTTTCCTCCATCTCTTGCCTCTTTTCCTCCTCCTCTTGCCACTTTTCCCCCTTCTTCTTTGTGTACACTTATCTTCCACTCCTCGTTACGCATCCCGTTGACGCTGACGCTGAGCCCGCCGCAGCTGATTGTGTGCAAATGATAGCAATATGGCAACAATCTTTATATATTTCCACCCCACACCACCCACTTTCTCTCTCCCTGCTCCTGCCCCTGCCCCCACATCAGCCACAGCCCCTTACCCGGACAGGCATTGTCGCTGCGCTTATTTTGTTATTGTTATCATTATCAAGCCTGGCTGATGACGATGACAATGACGATAATGATGATTTTTTTTCTTTGCATCGCTTGCCCTTGTGACTGCCTCCGGGGTATGTGGGGAGCCTTCACGACCAGTGACTGAATTGGGCAAGAAAATAAAAAATAATTCAGCCAAGTAAATGCAAGGGAAAATAAAAGTGCACAAGGAAATGAATTTCAGATAGTATCATGCAAGAGCAAATATCCATATACTAATCAAATCAAATGTAAAGGGTACGAGTGTTGCTCTATGAAATAAGACTAATACTCGCATAGTGCGACTGCCAACCGATTGAAATTAATTTTTGTGCTGTGAAATGCCTAAAAAATGCGGAGGGAGCTGCAAGCTATACAGGAAATATTTCAGGGCCGCTGATCAGAACGTATCAGAACAGATCGCTAGATTATGTTGATGCGCGATACCTAGAGATCCCCCAAATACGTTTGCCCATGGATGGTTTTTATACCCGTACTCAAAAAAGAGTTAAGGGGTATATTAGATTTGTGGTAAAAGTGGATGTGTGCAACTCAGAGAAGGAAACGTTTCCCACCCCATAAAGTATATATATTCTTGATCAGCATCAATAGCCGAGTCTATATAGCCATGTCCGTCTGTCCGTCCGTCTGTCCGTCTGTCCGTCCGTCCGTCTTGATGAGCGCCTGGATCTCAGAGACTATAAGAGCTAGAGAAACCAAATTTGGTTTCCAGACTCATGTGATATCACACTGCTACAAGTGTATTTCAAAATTTCGCCCCGCCCCCTTCCGCCCACTCAAAGGACGAAAATCTGTGGCAGGCACAGTTTTAAAGATACGATAAA